TATTAGATGGCGGGAGTTCTGGGGTGAACGAACGTCCTTCAGCAGCGCTAAAAATTGTGTCCCCGTTTACTTGTGAAACACTTCCATCAAATAAGCTTACGAGGATAAGATGTCACACCATTTTTCTGTTTGTTTCATTATTTTTAATCCGTGGTTGTAACAATAAAGATATAAATATAATCCTACTGATAAACTAGGATCGTTTGTTAGTTTTCACTATTTGATAAAATTGATGTTAAAACATTTCGATGTTAAAACATTTCAATGTTTTGCTTAAACATCGAAAATTAAAATTAAAAAGAAAAAAATGATTAACGTATTTTATTATTTCGATTTAGATCACTATAATAATTAGGTCAATAATTTTAAATGATTAAAATTATAAACATAATTATAGAATATTTATTTTAGTATAAGTCCCTAAGCGGCTTTTGCTCTCGATTTTTCATAAATTGTGAACAATTTCTACATTTTAATTCCATTTTCCTTCGCTTTAAAAAAACTACTGAAAAATCCCCGCATTCGGATCCATTTTCCCTTTCGATTATCCATAAACTACTGAAAAATCCCTACACTCGAATCTTATTTTTTCTCTTCGATTTACTACCGAAAAATCCCTACACTCGGTCCACTTTTTCCCTTTAAACTACTGAAAAATCCCTACACTCGAATCCACTTTTTCCTTCCAATTTTCCATAAACTACTGAAAAATCCCTACACTCGAATCTTATTTTTTCTCTTCGATTTACTACCGAAAAATCCCTACACTCGGTCCACTTTTTCCCTTTCAATTTTCCATAAACTACTGAAAAATCCCTACACTCGAATCCACTTTTTCCTTCCAATTTTCCATAAACTACTGAAAAATCCCTACATTCGAATCCTATTTACCCTATCGATTCCCCATAAAAATACTGAAAAATCCCCACAAATTTGAGTCTCATTTCCTCCCTTTTTTTTGTCATGTAATGTTCAGTTGCTTAATTTTGGTTTGTAACTTTCGTTTCCTGTATATTTTACAAAAGTAAAACAACAAAAAAAAAAAGCGAGAACGTCCTTCAACCCTAGTTCACTTCCGATATTTGGATAGAATAACAAGAGAAGGGGGGAAAAAGGTTCAACAGAGGATTGAATGGCTGGCAGTTTTTTCATACACACTCACTAACCTTCACCTGTCACGGAAGGAGTGGTTTGCGAAGCTGACGTACCCGTTGCAGTTGCAAATGACGTCAGATTAAATGAAACTACAATCTGGCAATTCTGCTGACACTAGGTAAATTGTTTTCAATGTAGTGAGGAAAAAAAAAACAATTTCCTATGATTTGTTAATTAAATAATTAGAAAAACATTTCCGTTTATGCAGCTTAATGATGATTATTCTTATCTAATATAACTGCTAAAATATGAATATGTGTTTATTTTATACGTTAAAATGGTAATAAAAAAATATATATATACTGTAGCGCTCGCGCGAATGATCGCATCGCGTCGCGTCGTTCGCTAGTATAAAATTTAAATATATCTTGCCCAAATAAAATATTTTAATTTATTTACGACTCTTTATGTAATTTAAATACATATATCTTTCAAATAGTAACAGAATTTAAAAGGTTTAATGCTAATTTAATGAATTATTTATTAATATTATTTACGCTCGAAGCGCGACGCGACGCGAAAGGCTGGAGGCGCTGTTACAAAAACACTAAATAAACATTATTTTATTATTATTAATATGAAGAATTAACTCAAAATTAAGTAAAACATAAATTAAACATTATAATTTTAAATTTTATTACTTTATTTTATTTTATTTTTTTTTTACATTAGTTTTGGTTTTCAGAATTTCAGTTTCCTCATATTTATTTATTTAAAAAAATAAATAATATTTATAGATTTCAATATGCATTTAAATTATGAAAATTATGTAAACGATAATAAATAAAACTTTAATTTTATTTTATTTATTCCCTAAAGTAGTATTACAACTTACTAAAATATACTCATAAATGACAATACTTTCACAGTACAATCTAGCATATTTTAAAATTTCCCTAAAAATTCCCTAATAAATTTGAAAATTTCCCTAATTTTAATTAATTTATTCCCTAAAATGAAATCCATTAAAAAAAATACACTCATAAATGACGACAATTTTACATTAGGTCTAGTTTGTTCTTTCCTGAAAACTTTCCTAAAGATTGAACTCAATTTTAGGGAAAATTAATTCTAATTAATTTATTCCCTTATTAATATTAACAAAATATAAATATAAATGACGACAGTTAGGTATAGTGTTTTTATTTTTTTTTAATTCCCTAAAAATTACACTGATTTTAGGGAAATTTTAAAATTTCACTTAAAATTGGTTTTTCCCTAATTTTAATTAATTAATTTCTTAAAAATGTAATTATATTTTAACAAGAGAGACTCATAAATGACGACAGTAGACGTAATTATTATTATTATTACTTTTTGAAATTTCCCTAAAATATTCCTAAATTTTAGGGAAATTTTAAATTTTCTCTAAAATTTTTTATTTTTTCTAATTTTAATTAATTTGTTCCTTAAAAATAAAATGGAATTTTAGACCTTAATAAACCCGTAAAAAATACGACGTATTTTCAGTAGGTCTAGTCTATTTTTTTCCTTCAAATTTCCCTCAAAAGGTAACACCAATTTTAGGGAAACTTTTAGGGAAATGTTACTAAAATGATCAGAAGACACGAAAATTTTCATATTTTAGGATAAAACGGAATTAAAAACGTCTGGAATAAAATTAGATTATCATTAAACAGACCACATCGACAGGATCGCTTCACAAGAGATCATTAAAAAGACTTTTTTTTTTTTTCCTTCTGTTGATTTCCGCGCATGAGTCGTGTTCCAGTTTTTAACTATGTAATATATTTTCGAATCTTTTTTATCCATTTAAACTAATAAATTAAAAGAATAGAAGAAGACGAAGAAGAAGAAGAAGATGAAAAAAAACAATAATTCAAACAATCGTTCCCAAATATAGACATTTATTAAAGGAGGACTCCTCTTGTTTTTCCAAGATTTATCTTTAATTATCTCCAATTTCATTTTAACTAGTAATTAATTTATAATGTNTTTTTTTTTATTTTTTTTTACATTAGTTTTGGTTTTCAGAATTTCAGTTTCCTCATATTTATTTATTTAAAAAAATAAATAATATTTATAGATTTCAATATGCATTTAAATTATGAAAATTATGTAAACGATAATAAATAAAACTTTAATTTTATTTTATTTATTCCCTAAAGTAGTATTACAACTTACTAAAATATACTCATAAATGACAATACTTTCACAGTACAATCTAGCATATTTTAAAATTTCCCTAAAAATTCCCTAATAAATTTGAAAATTTCCCTAATTTTAATTAATTTATTCCCTAAAATGAAATCCATTAAAAAAAATACACTCATAAATGACGACAATTTTACATTAGGTCTAGTTTGTTCTTTCCTGAAAACTTTCCTAAAGATTGAACTCAATTTTAGGGAAAATTAATTCTAATTAACTTATTCCCTTATTAATATTAACAAAATATAAATATAAATGACGACAGTTAGGTATAGTGTTTTTATTTTTTTTTAATTCCCTAAAAATTACACTGATTTTAGGGAAATTTTAAAATTTCACTTAAAATTGGTTTTTCCCTAATTTTAATTAATTAATTTCTTAAAAATGTAATTATATTTTAACAAGAGAGACTCATAAATGACGACAGTAGACGTAATTATTATTATTATTACTTTTTGAAATTTCCCTAAAATATTCCTAAATTTTAGGGAAATTTTAAATTTTCTCTAAAATTTTTTATTTTTTCTAATTTTAATTAATTTGTTCCTTAAAAATAAAATGGAATTTTAGACCTTAATAAACCCGTAAAAAATACGACGTATTTTCAGTAGGTCTAGTCTATTTTTTTCCTTCAAATTTCCCTCAAAAGGTAACACCAATTTTAGGGAAACTTTTAGGGAAATGTTACTAAAATGATCAGAAGACACGAAAATTTTCATATTTTAGGATAAAACGGAATTAAAAACGTCTGGAATAAAATTAGATTATCATTAAACAGACCACATCGACAGGATCGCTTCACAAGAGATCATTAAAAAGACTTTTTTTTTTTTTTCTTCTGTTGATTTCCGCGCATGAGTCGTGTTCCAGTTTTTAACTATGTAATATATTTTCGAATCTTTTTTATCCATTTAAACTAATAAATTAAAAGAATAGAAGAAGACGAAGAAGAAGAAGAAGATGAAAAAAAACAATAATTCAAAACAATCGTTCCCAAATATAGACATTTATTAAAGGAGGACTCCTCTTGTTTTTCCAAGATTTATCTTTAATTATCTCCAATTTCATTTTAACTAGTAATTAATTTATAATGTTTTGAAACTTTGATTAATTTGTATATATTTATTCTAGTATGGATCCGGGATTAGTGTACTTTCATGTCACCATTAATGTCATCGACCTATATTCCAGAGTCATCCTTAGATAATCACAAGAGAGGACAGGAAAAAAACTATTAGCTAGATGACATACAATAAAAATGTAAGAATAAATTGCTTTTCTAAATAAATATTTCACAAAAATATTGAGTAATTACTTGAAATAATTTAATTCGAGTCTCCTAAATCCTGGAGTTTTTTTTTCTTCTTCTTACAAAAACACCCCTACAAAAAAGGATAGGGTTTTGCTGATTGCATAGTTTCTCACATAGAAAAATAAACTAGTCGCATCCTCTTAAATGAAGTACCATCACACGTAAACAATTTTATTTTTTACTAAATTATGTTTACAGCGAGCCTTAAAACCTTTAAAAAAAAGACAAGATATTAAGCTTAACAATGCACCATTTTGGAAGAGAGCGAGAGCATCTTTAAAACACACACACAGACACATGTATATATAATTGATTCCTGCACCAATTCTTGTATAGTTTCCAGCTAGATCTGTAGTATTTCGGTTACCGGAAGGTGGGCTATTTACTATTCTGTACGATTTCCAAATGATGTCAAATGCAGACTGACAGAATCTGACCTTGAACGTAGCTAGTTTTCACAATCAAGCAAATGGGATACTAGACCTTCGATAGCTCCACCTGCTCTACAGCGTGGTTGGTTCGTTTGTACTTGGATGGTTTCCATCTTTTTCCAGCTACCCTTATCAATAAATTGGAAACAGAGAAAACTAGGTGTGAATGACACAGAGACCTTCAGGTTAACGCACTGGCCAGATCTATATAAACTGAGGATTCTAGCTTCCGAAACCATTTTAACATCAACAGGCAACCATTAATGGACACTATCGATATATTGGCCTGGTTCTTCACCATCCTCTTAGCATTGTTAATATATAGGTAAGAATAAATAAAATATCTTCTAATTAAATCTTAAGTTTAATGTACTAAAACAAGTAATTTTTATATAATTTTATTTATTAAGATTTCATAAAATTGTAATAAATAAAAATTATGCAACGTAGTAGCATATTCAGCAATAATTTTTTTAAAGAAAATATATATATTATTATTACTTTTTTTAATGAATTAAACATCCGTTATGAAATTGAGGGTAAACAGCCTCGTTTGTTTAATTAAGGTTTAGAGGGGTGGGGTTATTTTTTTTAGTGTAATTTTTTTTTTTTAATTTTACTTAAATTTAACTGCTTATACACGTATATGTTACGTCTGTAATGGTATTGTTGTTATAACATTATCCATTGTATTCATTCTGACCTTGTGCTCAGCAACTGTCTTGAGCCTTGACACAGAAACTACCTGTACTGAGTATGAGTAGGCTATGAGAGCACACTGTTGATCACATGCATCGTTTACCCCAGTCACATTTAGTGCGTGGTCGGATATTCTTTTTTTAACTACATACCTAAATATTCTGTAATTAGGGTATGATATAGTTAATTTTTTTTCTATGTTTTTTCAGGGGATATCTTCTCAAACCTTTAAGATTTTGGGAGTTGCAAAATGTACGAACCATTAAATCCCTTAAATGCACGTCTGCTAAAGTAAATAAAATTTAAATTTTAATTAATATTTTAATAAATTAATCTTTATTTGAGCTCATCTTTTATTATATATATATTTTTTTCCTTCTTCTTCTATAGTTTTTACACGAAGCTGAATTACAGAATTATCTCCAAGTTGGGAGAATTTATGGGTGTGTTTTTTTGATTAATTTATATAATAAATATATTAAAAATATATTTATAAATTTTATAATTTATAACGTTAAAATTGTTTATTTTTCAGACGTTATGATGGTCAGATACCTGTATTAACGGTCGCTGACCCAGATATACTGAAGCAAATTTTGGTCAAAGATTTTTTTGTTTTTCCAAATAGAAGAGTACGTATTGCTTGTCAGTCCTTTAAAATAAAAGAAAATATTATATTTTTCCTCTTTAAATATTAATTTTTTTTTTAATATTTCGAAATCTTTATAACTACATTACTAAATCTTTATTGCAGATTAAATATTTCGAAATGTCCTTACTACAATATTCATGTTAATTAATATACTTATCATTAGTTGTGTGAAATTTTGTTTTATAACTGATAAACGATAAGGAAACAAGGTTGTTCAGATAGCAAATAGGGGGAAAAACATTAACAATTTTTCATTGTTAATGTTTAAATAATGTTAAACATCACAACGCTGATGATAAACAATTATTATGCACCTCTTAATTAGGTTTAAAAAAATAATTTTAATGTTTTTATACCTTAAAAATCATCTTTAACTTACTTATATTATTATTATAAATGTTAAAGTAATGATACTTTTTAATTTATAACTAGAAAACTGGTTACTTTTCTTCGTATCATCTAATGATTCTGCTTATTTAAACTTACCAAATTAATGTTAAGCTGTGTAATAATTATATTAAAAAATTAATTAATTTCTTCTATTTATAAATTATTTAAATAATAAAAAAAATTAATTAAAATAATTTATATTTTAACTTAAATTAAACACATTTAACTATGGACTTTTATCTTTATTTATCGTTATATAATTGATAAAATGTGATAAATCTCGACGAGTTTTAATTATGTTTACTTAATTTAGATATTTATATAAAAAATTATATATTTTATACTAAAATTTATAAGTTGTATAATTGATTTTTATACGTTGAAACATTATTATGAATATTATTAATTCAAAAGCTCTAGATCAGTTCTTCATAACCTGGGGTTCACGAACCCCCCCTGAGGGTGCAAAAATCTCTTATCTGAGAGTTGCGACATCTCAATAAAATGTGCCAATGTCAAAATTTAAGTGTAATTATACACTTAAACTAGATTTAGATGTTTTTATATTAATGAATGAGAGTGGAATGATTTCCTTTCTTAATCGTTTAAGCTGTATCTAAAGGGGGGATAAAGTCATCCATCACGTGTATCTAATACACGCGAGGAGCGACTTAAACCCCCAAAATATTGAACTCTAACCCCTTAAATATGGAAAAAAATCAAAATTTTAGGGGGGTGCACGAGTATATTTTAAGAATTCGGTTGAGGCTAAAAGAAAAAAAAGGTTAAGAACTACTGCTCCAGATTGATTATAAGCTGTTTAGATAATGAAAAATTGTAAATATTTTCAAGAAAATANTACAATATTCATGTTAATTAATATACTTATCATTAGTTGTGTGAAATTTTGTTTTATAACTGATAAACGATAAGGAAACAAGGTTGTTCAGATAGCAAATAGGGGGAAAAACATTAACAATTTTTCATTGTTAATGTTTAAATAATGTTAAACATCACAACGCTGATGATAAACAATTATTATGCACCTCTTAATTAGGTTTAAAAAAATAATTTTAATGTTTTTATACCTTAAAAATCATCTTTAACTTACTTATATTATTATTATAAATGTTAAAGTAATGATACTTTTTAATTTATAACTAGAAAACTGGTTACTTTTCTTCGTATCATCTAATGATTCTGCTTATTTAAACTTACCAAATTAATGTTAAGCTGTGTAATAATTATATTAAAAAATTAATTAATTTCTTCTATTTATAAATTATTTAAATAATAAAAAAAATTAATTAAAATAATTTATATTTTAACTTAAATTAAACACATTTAACTATGGACTTTTATCTTTATTTATCGTTATATAATTGATAAAATGTGATAAATCTCGACGAGTTTTAATTATGTTTACTTAATTTAGATATTTATATAAAAAATTATATATTTTATACTAAAATTTATAAGTTGTATAATTGATTTTTATACGTTGAAACATTATTATGAATATTATTAATTCAAAAGCTCTAGATCAGTTCTTCATAACCTGGGGTTCACGAACCCCCCCTGAGGGTGCAAAAATCTCTTATCTGAGAGTTGCGACATCTCAATAAAATGTGCCAATGTCAAAATTTAAGTGTAATTATACACTTAAACTAGATTTAGATGTTTTTATATTAATGAATGAGAGTGGAATGATTTCCTTTCTTAATCGTTTAAGCTGTATCTAAAGGGGGGATAAAGTCATCCATCACGTGTATCTAATACATGCGAGGAGCGACTTAAACCCCCAAAATATTGAACTCTAACCCCTTAAATATGGAAAAAAATCAAAATTTTAGGGGGGTGCACGAGTATATTTTAAGAATTCGGTTGAGGCTAAAAGAAAAAAAAGGTTAAGAACTACTGCTCCAGATTGATTATAAGCTGTTTAGATAATGAAAAATTGTAAATATTTTCAAGAAAATATTCAATAAATTTAATTTATATAAGGAAAAAAAAATTTCGTAGATAAGAAATTAATTTATTTTAAACATTTTAGCTTACATTTTGTTATTACATCATTCATTTTATAAGCTAAATTCGTGATATTTGTTATATTTTTAGTAGTATATCAAGACAGAAAATAGGAAAAATAACATTAAAAAATAATAATAAAACAATTTTTAACAATAATATTATCTATTAACAAATTCATTTTTATTTATTTATTTATTTTATTTAAGTTTTAAACACGCGTTATATACTTTATTATTGTTTAACATCTCAATTGAGTTATTATTATCGAAATTTTTGCATTAAAAAAATAAAAAAAATCTACAAAAATAGCTTTTAAAAAAACAAAAGTATAATAAAATATTGTGTAACCGAATCTTTTGAATATAATACAATTGTTTAGATCTATTAAGATACTTTTATTCATTGTCTATTGTGTATAACATTAAGGAGACTTCCGGAAAAACTTAACTTAAGCAACGGAACATGTCCACTTTTTAAATTTATTTTCAATTTTTCTATTAAATTTTACATAAATTTATATTGAAAATATATAAAATTTATTATATTTAATTAATTTATTTATTTTTCTTTTATTCTAGGACGTTAGATTCGGTGATGATGTGATGGATAAAATGGTTTCTGCGTTGGAAGGAAGAGACTGGAAGAGAGTTAGATCCGTTTTATCAAACACATTTACATCTAGTAAATTGAAAAAAGTAAGATTTAATTATATAATCATCTAAATTTTACATAGGAATAAGTATAGAAGACATATGTAACTTAAAACTTCAATAACTTCGGATGCATATACGATAGAAATATACTGTAAACGACGTATAAAAGCTTAAAAATTAAATATTTATACGCTGCTTATTACTAAGAGATGCCGTAAAACTATAATTCTTAAAGCTTTACCACATCTCGCATTTGTTACGAACTTCAAATCTGCGATTCATAACTCTTCTTCTCCACGGCGCCATTTTCAACCGGCTAAAAAAAAGTAAAAATATATTTATAAAAAATATTAGAGTTAATATTTAAAAACTATATAAATTGAGCTTTTATATGCCATTTACTGTGCCCTTCTATCTCATATACTTAAAAAGTTATTAACGTTTAAAGTTATACATGTATTGTATATTATTAATGGGATAGAGACTAGATAAGAGTATTAGCTAAAGAAAGGAAGTGAGTGTTAAATATATAAATAATTAATTCTGTGACTAATATATACATAATTCTTTACAGATGTTTAATATTTTAAACGATTGTATAACTTCATTGAATGAAAACTTAAGTGAAACAGCTGATACCAAAGCCACAATAGACATATACAAGTTAGTATATTTCTTTTTGTTTAATTATCATAATTAAGTGATTAAATATTAATAATTAAATATTTAATATTTAGATTATTCGAATGTTATTCAGTCGACGTAATTGCAAGGTGTGTATTCGGTACAAAAATTAATTCTCATAAAGATTCATTAAATCCATTTGTTCAGAATGCTAAAGAACTCTTAAGAACTGGAGAAACTTGGAAAAGTTTTGTAGCAGGTAAATTAATTAATTAATTAATTAATTAACTATCACCTACGAGACGTCTTCTTGAAGGTAGATCGCCTGTGGGTTGCGTTGCCTAACGGGGATGAGATTTAGGGGGTACTCAGGNTTTTTTTTTTTTTTTTAAATGTAATTTTATATTAAAAAATAGAAAATAATTAATTTTTTTTTAAATGAAATTTTAATATTTAATTACAGTAAAATTTCCTCAACTGATGAAATTATTCAAAATTTCATTATTTAATCCTGAATCTACTCAGTTTTTTCGAGGTTTTATACATAAATTATTAGCAAAAATGGAGAAAAATAATGTAAATAATAATTTCTTTATTATTTTATTTTATTTTTTTTAAATTTTAATTAAATTTTATTTATAAATTAATTTTTTTTTTGCTTAAATAGCTGGAAAATAGCTTTTTAAAACTAGTTAAAGATACTCAAAAATCTGCGACCTTTAACGAAAATTTTCGTAAAGAATTCCCCGAAAAAATTATCGAAAATATGGGTAAGTGTTAATAAAAATTGTTTATATTAAATAAATTTTTCTAGAATTTTCCAAATTTAGTTCAATGTTCCTGTTCAATTTCTTTCAATTCCTCTATTTATACTCATCTCTTACGTAAACAGAGGCATAAAATGTTCTTAGAACTTAATTTTTTTTTTTTACTAAAAGAAATAATAAATAATCCATGAATTTAATTTTTCTTAGAAAAAAAGCTGGCAATGTTATTGCTGGACTTTCCAATATTCTTTATTGTTTTTACCCTTTAATAATTACTACCCTTACCTTTAAGTCTTTAGATTAATTGGGGGATATTAAAGAGTGGCGAGCTATATCTCCCGAACCAATATTCTAATTTTCCTGAAAATTTCTGGAAACTTTCCCCCCTTATACTCAAATCTTCCTGCAAAATTTCATAAAATTTCGATAAAGGATACAGGAGTTATCACGCTTTTAATTGGATGAATAGAATCGTCCCCACATACAGAAAAATCCCCATTTTTCCAAATTTTTTTGCATATTTTGATCTATCAACACTCTTCCCCTCTCGTATATAGGCCCTATAACATCCGGTAATGTAAAATTGTGTAATTTTACTATAAAAATTGACTTATTTTCTATGATTTTTACCGAGAAAAAAAATGGCCCAGTTTAAATTAATTAGTGAAGACTTTTAACTGTTTATTATTATTATTATTATTACTTAATTTAATATAAATTTATTTATATATTTTATAGTCATGAGTGAAGAAGAATTGGCTGCACAGTGTTGCGTATTCTTTCTAGCTGGTTACCACGCTACTAATTCAGCATTAGCCACAGCTATTTTTAGTTTGGCAGCTAATCCCGAAATCCAAGATCGATTATTTAAAGAAATCAAGGATGCTCCTCTCAATGTACACATTTTTCTCTCCTTTTTTTCTTTCTTTTTCTTCTTCTTTATTTATAATAAAAATTAAAATATCTTAATCTTATAGAATAATATCGATTACGATACCATCAACGAAATGAAGTATTTGGATGCTGTAATTGCTGAAACTTTTCGAATGTATCCTCCAACTATCAGGTAAATTAAGTGTTAAATATCCTTAAAAAATACTTTTAAGGACAAATTACTCAATAGAATTTTTTTATTTTAAAGAATTTTAATGGGTAATTTAATATAGGATCTATACTGGTTCCTTATTAGGTTAGTACTGAAACATGTTACAAGATTTTTATTATTATTATTATTATTAAAAAATAATAATAAAAATCATTAAATGGCCCACTGAAATTAACAGAAAATGTCTTAATTTTTACTAAATTTATTGAGAAAAATATTATAGGAACTTGCATATTAATTGTATTATAGATACATATAAAAGTCTATTCTAGCATCGAATATAATTTAAAAATATTATTAGAATTTAGTTTTATATAATAAAACATAATAAATTTTAATATTTTAGTATCCATTTATTCAAAATTTAATTATATCTTATATTACACTGTATCAAATTTACAATAAATGATATAAACATAGCATTAGTGTAATGAAAATTGTAGATTGTTTCGTTAAAATAATTACATTTTAACATCAAAATTTCATGAAATTTTACCATAACGTTCTATAATATATATAAAGTGATTACTTCAATAGATTCTAAACCAATTTTTAGATTATTAGCTGCGTGTGCCCGAGTTTTTGAGGGATAAAAGGGTGATAAAAACAATAGTACAACAGTCGACCCCCCTATAACACGGTTGATAATTCCGTTTTATTTGAATTCCGTGTTGTACGAGTCACTTAGATTTTACAAATACGCGAGCCGTTCACAGCCCGGCACACGTATTTGTAAAATCTAAGTAACTCGTACAACATGGAATTCATATAAAACGGAATNACAGGCAACCATTAATGGACACTATCGATATATTGGCCTGGTTCTTCACCATCCTCTTAGCATTGTTAATATATAGGTAAGAATAAATAAAATATCTTCTAATTAAATCTTAAGTTTAATGTACTAAAACAAGTAATTTTTATATAATTTTATTTATTAAGATTTCATAAAATTGTAATAAATAAAAATTATGCAACGTAGTAGCATATTCAGCAATAATTTTTTTAAAGAAAATATATATATTATTATTACTTTTTTTAATGAATTAAACATCCGTTATGAAATTGAGGGTAAACAGCCTCGTTTGTTTAATTAAGGTTTAGAGGGGTGGGGTTATTTTTTTTAGTGTAATTTTTTTTTTTAATTTTACTTAAATTTAACTGCTTATACACGTATATGTTACGTCTGTAATGGTATTGTTGTTATAACATTATCCATTGTATTCATTCTGACCTTGTGCTCAGCAACTGTCTTGAGCCTTGACACAGAAACTACCTGTACTGAGTATGAGTAGGCTATGAGAGCACACTGTTGATCACATGCATCGTTTACCCCAGTCACATTTAGTGCGTGGTCGGATATTCTTTTTTTAACTACATACCTAAATATTCTGTAATTAGGGTATGATATAGTTAATTTTTTTTCTATGTTTTTTCAGGGGATATCTTCTCAAACCTTTAAGATTTTGGGAGTTGCAAAATGTACGAACCATTAAATCCCTTAAATGCACGTCTGCTAAAGTAAATAAAATTTAAATTTTAATTAATATTTTAATAAATTAATCTTTATTTGAGCTCATCTTTTATTATATATATATATATAATTCGAATTAATTTCTTGAAAAATATAATTAAAATTAATTGTTAATAGTGACAGATGCTTTTGTAAGATGAATTAAGAGGAATAAATGTTTATTTCCTTATTAAAATTTACAATTAGTTAAGAAAGGGAGGAAAATTGTATGTTGAACTTCCTTCAAATTGAATGATATTTCAATTATCATAAGAGTAATTCGACCTAGAAATAAATTGATTCGTACTTGATCCTTTAAACATCATCGAAAAGTTTATAACTTTTCGAGTGGATTTTTGAATTTGTTAAAATTAATTTACAATCGATTTAAATAAATGTTTATCATCTAACATTTGCCATTGGTCGTGTTAAATAATCTCAACATTAAATCAATTTTTTACATGTTTATCAAGAGAATTGATAAGTTCGTACTTTCAAAGATGCTATAATATACAAAGATATCTTCATTTTAAACAATTTATAATAAATTTTTATGTAATAAAATTATAAAACATATAAAATGGCTACTAAATTTGATATTTTATCTGTTAGAACATTCAATTTTTCTTCAAAAATCCATACTTTTTTTGCTTCGAACTTCCATACTTACCTATGGATGTTCGAAGATTTAATATGTTTCTTTTATAATTTTTAATAAAAGAAATGTCATTTACAATATTTTTAAGCACGTAGAATTAATTAAAATTATTAGAAACACTAAAAAAATATTTTAAATAATTTAAATTTGAATTCAAAATTGAAACAAAGATTCTAAAACGTACACACATCATACAATTTGCACTTTTAGTACTGTATTTACAGGGTCAGATTTAACATATACAACGATTTTTAGGGGTCTTTAAGGGTCGTTGAGGGTATAAAAATACTATGAGGGATCTCCCACAGTATTTTTTCTACAGTATTAAAGGGTATTCATGGCAAGTTTGATACATTTATGATACATTGAACGGTACAGAACCCTCTACCTAGCAAACATATATGCATATTTTAACTTATATATTTAATATTTATTAATAAATATCCTTTAATTTCAGGTTCCAGTTGAATTAAGAGCGGAGTATGGATTGCTAAAACCAAACAATATTTACCTAAAAGTTAATTTTAGGGAATAATCAAACAATATTTTATAATGTTAAACGATTTCTTCACTGCCAGGAAATACATTGGATTGCGTTGAAGACGATATCCTGAATAGTACCAAAGAATCTCAAAATCTGTGATTTACAGACGTTCATTACATTAATAGTATTATAAAGTTATATATATATATATATATATATATATATGTACGCATCTACTTAATATATTTTTATATCAAAGTGTTCATATATATCATTAAAATGCACAAAGTTGTTATCAATGTAAATAACATTAAATGTATCGTTACGACGTGATTATTCCATGTTCTATGATAAATAATGGTTAAATAATTAAAAAAAATGAAAAGAAAAGATAATAAAATTAGTTATTTTTTATAAATTAAAATATACTCTTATTTTTTAAATTTAAATACTTTAACAGTTAAGCCAGTATTCTATATACTATACTGCGTAACCTGTATAAGCCGGAATCGCGTGGTTTTAGCAGGTTTCCGTTTTAGACGAGTTATACTGTGTTTAAATCAGTAAATCGTACGGATAAAACCACACTAAACACTTGTAATTGGTCGCTGGTTCACACCCGAACACGTGGAGTTTTCCAGGTTTTCCTCACGTGTTTAATTAACACCTAAAAGGGGGCTAGTTTAGGGAAGATTTTCTATAAGAAACTTTCATTCCCCCCTTTGGCATATCGCCCACGTGTTATTTTATCATATAATATTTCTAAATAATAAGTAATTAAAATTTATAAATTAAAAAATATATATAGGGGAGATCGGGGCAACTTCGGCATGCGGGGCAAGTTTGTCAAGCGCTTTTTTTAAAAAACAAATTAAAAGGAGACTTTGGTTATAGGTTAGGCAGTTGAGTTTTATTGGTGGCTTGTTGAGTGTAGTGTTTTTATTGTTCTCCAACAAGCGTAGTTGAATTATCAAGCAAATTTTCATTTTCGTTCAATTCCATATAATATTTTTTTTCCATTTATATTGAATTGGCAGGTTTTGTTATAATTCCATGATAACGAAAGTTACTTTTCCTGTTAGAAGGATGTAACTTCAACTTATTCACGTGGCCAGATCGTGGCTTGGCATTCTGTTCTCAGGGTTGTACTTAATGTTTCGAAATCATGACTAGCGGGGTAAGATCGGCAACATAAAGCCACATTAGAAGCAAAGGATAAAAATCAAACAGATGATAAATGAAAACATGTTTGCATTTGTTATTCATGTATATATGTCTTTGAACTTGCATTTCGTTGTAATAATATTAAATGGGTGTTGGATTTGTATTTCTTTGTTTTAATAGTGAATTCCAACTTATACATTGTTAATAACATAATTTTATATACGTGCCTATCTTGCCCCATTACTGTTGCCCCTATACCAGGGGCAACTTTAATAAAAATAATTAAAATAATTACAACTTTACAAAAAGAGAGAAGTTGCCGATCTTGCCCCTATACCCGGGGCAACTTCGTCAATTTCTCTCTTCTTGTAAAGTTGTAATTATTTTAATTATTTTTATTTCCAAACTGATTTTAACCAGTTCTATAGTAAGGCAACATTCCAGTAGACAATATGCAAAGCTTTTTTTTCAGTTTACAGCAGTATTTATTACACAAAATTTAAGTAAAGCTTAACATGCCGATCTTGCCCCGATCTCCCTTATATAATTCGTAAATAAATGACCATAATTAATTGAAGACTGATGATTTAATCTGTTACAGTATAAAATGCAATTACGTCACTCGTTCTTATTGTTACGTAAACAACGAGCATACCTTTCTTAAATTTCTGTGTTTTGTAACTATTTTATTTTATTTTATTTTATTTTTAATTAAATAAAATAATTTAAATCAATAAAAAATACAATATATTTCACGTTACATACGAAAGAAAACTGTAGCAAGTACAATAAAAAAAAAAAAAAACATGTCTAAAAATGAACGTGTATAAAAGGAAAAGGCACTTTTCCTTGCCTTTAGCTTAAATAGATTTTACTGTAATTATTATATTTCTATAAATATGATTTCTTATAAGAAAGTTAATTACTTACACTTTTGTAACATTCTGAAAATTTGCAAATTTCATAAATACTTGTAATTTAAATAAACTTTACACACGAAATTACATTGAAATATCTAGAAAAGTCACTGAACTTATCGTTTAGTAAACTAAAGTATTTTGATTATTTTACTCTTTTGAAAAAAAAGGAATTTTTGCTGAATTAAATGCTACGTAAAGTATTTTAGTATGTGCTGTGTATTAAGAAAGTATGACGGATTTAAAAGAAGAAATTGCTTAAATATGTGGCATATTTATATAGTGTTAAATCCTCAGAGGATTTAGAAAATAAAATTTAAACTAAAAGAATTTATTTGTAAATAAACACTACTTTAAACTATTCTTAATTTTTCGTCATTGTTATTGCACCTTTTACATCATCCTCTCAGAATCATCTCTTATCTGAAAAGATGGTGTATAAGTGGCAATCTTAAGAGGATGAAAATCATCCTGTTACATTATCTTCTTTGGCATGCTACTTTATGCAACCATCTTA